ATGGGTGAGGTTTTTTTTGGTTCTTGTTTGTTTTTACCAAATGCCAACACAACTTAGGCACTTTATTTGTATTAATAGTTTTACTTAAGTTTTTTGTTAAGCAGATTTATTGAGGGATAATTGACATATAATAAATTACATTTATTTAAATTTTATGATTAGGTAAGTTTTTTAAAATGTTAAATAATACTATTTGTTTTTCCCATAAAGATTTTAATGCAGTCAACTTCACTTTTTCTTAGGTTTTAATGATGTGTAATTATTCGGTAGGATATAAAATTATTCAGCCAATAAATTTTATTTCATTGAAATACCAAAAATTGCTGTGATTTGGGGATGGTTCCTAGTTTTATTGAGATATAATTGACATATAGCATTGTATTAGTTTAAGATGTACAACATGACTTATGTGTATATTGCAAAATGATTACCACAGTAACTTCATTTAACATCCATCACCACATGTAGTTGCAATTGTTTTTTCTTTTTCTTTTTTCTTAATGTTTTATTTATTTGTGAGAGCAAGACAGAGTACAAGTCGGGGAGGGGCATAGAGAGAGAGGGAGATAGAGAATCTGAAGCAAGATCCAGGCTCTGAGCTGTCAGCACAGATGTGGGACTCGAACTCACAGACCGCAAGATCATGACCTGAGCCGAAATCGGGCACTTAACCGACTGAGCCACTCAGGTGCTCCACAATTGTTTTTTCTTATGATGAGGACTGTTAAGATCTACTAGGTAAGGTGTGATATACATATACACCCATGGAACTGTTATCATAGTCAGGATAAAACATTCATCTTTGCCAGACGTTTCCTCATGTCTTCTCCAACTCCAGCCTCCCTTGTCCCAGCCTCCCAGTGTACCCCACTGATATGCTTTCTGTCACAATAGATTAGTTTGCATTTTTAGAATTTTCTATAAATGAAGTCATACCGTATCTACCCCTTTTTTGGTCTGGTTTCTTTCATTCCATGTAATTCTTATGAGATGCATCCATATTGCTTAGTGTATTAATGCTTCGTTTCTACTTACTGCTAAGTAATATTGCTTTGCATGTATACACCAGCTTGTTTATCCATTTACCTGTTGATGAACATTTGGGCTGTTACCAATAAAGCTGCCATGAACATTTGTGTATAAGTCCTTATATGGACATATGCTTTCATTCCTTTTTTTTTTTTTCCCCAGTTTACTTATTTATTTATTCAAGGAACCTCTACACCTAACATGGAGCTCAAACCCTGAGATCAAGAGTCACATATTCTTCCAACTGAGCCAGCCAGGCGCCCCTCATTCCTTAGTGAGTAGGATGCCTAGGATGGTTGGATGATATGATATATATAATATTTAATTTTTTAAGAAACTGGCAAACTGGGGTACCTCGGTGGCTCAAGTAGGCTAAGTGCCTGAGACTTGATTTTTGGCTAAGGTCATGATCTCATGGCTCGTGGGACTGAGTCCCATGTCAGGCTCTGTGCTGGTAGTACAGAACATGCCTGGGATTTTCACTCTCCCTCTCATTCTCTGCTCCTTATCCGTTCACACTGTCTCTCAAAAAAAATAAATAAACATTTTTTAAAAACCTGTCAAACTACTTTCCTAAGTCATTGTACCATCTTACTTTCCAACTAGCGTAAATGAGCATTCTAGTTCCTTTGCCTCTTTGTCAATACTTAGTATAGTCAGTCATTTTAATCATTCTAATAATTATGTGTTGACTGTGGGTTATTTTTTCTTCTTTGTGCTTGTGTTTTCCAAATTTTCTGTAATGAAATATATCTTTCACAATAAAAAAAAATTGTTTAAGTGAGATAAAAGGTAGCCTAGTCCAATATGAAGTCTTAGTCTGAGGACTCTTCTCATTCTAAAAGAACTACCCAGGGGCACCTGGATGGCTCAGTCGATTGAGCATCTAACTCTTGATTTAGGCTCAGGTCATGATGCCAGGGTCATGAGACTGAGCCCAGCATCATGCTCCATGCTGAGCGTGGAGCCTGCTTAGGATTCTCCCTCTCTGTCTCTCTCTCTCTCTCCCCCTCTCTCTCTCTCTTTCTTTTTTTCTCTCTCTCTCTCCCTCTGCCCCTCTCCCCTGCTTACTGTGTGTGTATGTGTGTGTCTCTCTCTCTAAAAATAAAAAACAAAGAGCTACCCCGTTTGGTCTTGAGAGAGTCCAGCAAAGGGTGCTAGGTGTGTAGCCTGAGTAAGTCTTCCTTATAGGGTAACATTTGTTTTTTGGATTTTTAAATTTTAATTAAAATGTTTTAAATTGAGAGAAAATTGATATATATCATTATATTAGTTTCAGGTATACAACATAATAATTTGATATTTGTATATACCACAAAGTGATCACCACAATAAGTCTAGTTATCAACAGTCATCATACAGTTAGTTACAAAAACTTTTTTTCCTTGTGATGAGAACTTTTAAGCTTTGCTCTTTGCAACTTTCAAATATGTACTACAGTATTATTGACTACAGTCACCATACTTTACATCATCCCCATGACTCATTTATATTGTATATCTAAAGATTTTTTCTTTGTTAAGTTTATATTTATCTATTTTGAGAGAGAGAGACAAAGAGCGAGAGTGTGTGCAAGCAGGAGAAGGCAGAAAGAGAGGGAATGAGAGAGAATCCCAAGCAGACTCTGCACTGTCAGCACGCAGGACTCAATGTGGGACTTGAACCCATGAACTATGAGATCATGACCTGAGCCAAAATCTGGAGTCCTGATGCTCAAATGACTGAGCCACCTAGGCACCTCTATGTTTATGTTTTTACTGCTTGACCCCCTTCACCTAATTTCTCTCAGCTCCCAACCCTCTTCCCCACTGGTAACCACCAATCTGTTCCCTGTGAGTTTTGTCTTGTTTGTTAATTTGTTTCTTGATTCCACATATAAATGAAATCAGGCAGTATTTGTTTTTCTCTGACTTATTTCATTTAGCATAATACCCACAAGGCCCATCCATGTAGTTGCAAATAACAAAATTTGCTTCTTTTTTAAGGCTGAGTGATGTTCCATTGTATATATACCACGTCTTCTTTATCAATTCATCCATCAATAGACACTTAGGTTGTTTCCATTTTTGGCTATTGTAAATAAGGCTGCGATGAATGTAGGGTAGGGATGCCTATATCTTTTTGAATTAGTGTTTTCATTTTCTTCAGATAAATACTCAGAAGTTAAATTGCTGGATAATGTGTTGAAGAAGCTACATACTGTTTCCCATAGAAGCTGCACTAATTTACATTCCTACCAACAGGGCACAAGGGTTCCCTTTTCTCCACATCCTTGTCAGTATTTATTTCTTATCTTTTTTGATACTAACCATTCTAACAGGTAGGAAGTGATATCTCACTGAATAGCATTTCCCTGATAATTAGTGATGTTGAGTTTTCATGTTTTTTTCATGATGTTTTCATGTGCCTGTTAGCCATCTGTATGTCTTCTTTGGAAAATGTCTGTTAGATTCTTTGCCTATTTTTTAATTGGATTGTTTGGTTATTTTGCTATTGAGTTGTAATGTTTGGCATTTTTTAAGCAATGTCATTTTCTTTTTTTTTTTTTTAAATGTTTTATTTATTTTTAGGAGAGAGAGAGAGAGACAGCGTGAGCAGGGGAGGGTCAGAGAGAGAGGGAGTCACAGACTGAAACAGGCTCCAGGCTCTGAGCTGGCAGTCAGCACAGAGCCGGACGCGGGGCTCGAACCCACAAACCGTGAGATCATGACCCAAGCGAAAGTCGGACGCTTAACCGACTAAGCCACCCAGGCACCCCATCTAGGAATAAATTTAACCAAAGAAAATAAAAGATCTGTATTCTGAAATCTGTAAAACACTGATGAATGAAATTGAAGATGACACAAAAAATGGAAAGACATTCCGTGCTCATGGATGCAAGGACAAATAATGTTGAAGTATCTGTTCTACCCAATCNTATTTATTTTTAGGAGAGAGAGAGAGAGACAGCGTGAGCAGGGGAGGGTCAGAGAGAGAGGGAGTCACAGACTGAAGCAGGCTCCAGGCTCTGAACTGGCAGTCAGCACAGAGCCCGACGCGGGGCTTAAACCCAGAACCGCGAGATCATGACCCAAGCAAAAGTCGGACGCTTAACCTACTAAGCCACCCAGGCGCCCCAAGCAATGTCATTTTCAATGTTACAACCACACTAGGATTTTAAGAAAAAATTTAAATACATATAAACCTCCTAATCTATTATTTTCTTTTTGTTTTCTCTTCCAGCCCTTATTCATTTACATACATATTTTATAGAGTTTTATTACAATGCTCTATAGTTTACATTTTTACTTCTTTATGTCGTGTCTTCCATACTGCTTATGTTTTTTTTTGTTAATGTTTATTTATTCTTGAGAGAGAGACAGAGCACGAGCAGGGGAGGGGCAGAGAGAGGGAGACACAGAATCTGAAACAGGCTCCAGGCTCTGAGCTGTCAGCACAGAGCCTGACACGGGGCTTGAACCCACGAACTGTGAGATCATGACCTGAGCTGAAGTCAGGTACTCAACCGACTGAGCCACCCAGGTGCCCTCATATTGCTTATCTTTTAAATCATAATTTTAAATGTCAAATTAATGCATCATAAATTGCTTCCCCAGTCTCCCATTGTTGGGCTGTTTCTACTTTTTCATTATTAATAACAAAGTTATAAAAACTTTGTACAAAAAAGCTTGTTCTTTTGAATTATTTCTTCATGATAAATATCCAGGAGTAAGATTCCTGATCAAAGACTAGAACATTTTTCTGGTTCTTGGTACATATCGTTGTATCACTTTCCCAAAGGGTCTACTAATTTTAATGTCACTTGGTTTGTGCCAGCAATGGTTTGTGCAGCATTTGCTAATTTTCTAGGTATACCATACTTTATTGTGCTAATTTGCATGTTGTTGACTACTAATCAGGTAGACATTTTCCCATGTCTGGGATCCTTGTCTATTATCCATGGCTGTTAAGGATGTTCTTTGTCTTCACAGACCAGGAGCTGAAGAGTATGAACCTTGACCCTCCTAGTGCTTCCCTTGCTGAGCACATCCAGACCTTTGAGTCAGATGCTGTCCAAAAGACGTAAGTGTTCAAAGTTGTGATCATATGGACTGCTCTACTTTTATTTCATTTTTCTTTTCTTTTTTTTTTTTTTTTTTAAGTAATCGCAATGCCCAATGTGGGACTTAAACTCATGACCCTGAAATCAAGAGTTGCATGCTCTACTGACTGAGCCAGCCAGGGACCCCTCATTTTTCTTGTTTTTTAATTAATTTCATTTCTATTTTTCTAAGCATGAAGATTCTCAGGCTAACTACATTCTCTAACAACCAGAATTGTTGTCTAAGAAACGGATTCTTGGGGAGGATTATATTGTGACATGTTTCCTACATAAACCATATTCTTTGACTGGGTGGGTGAAGAGCGAAGTTTACAGTGTGGAAACAGCTTTCTCCATTTGTCTACATAGCTGGGATCTACAGACATGCCTAGTAAGGTGATTTCTGTCAATTCAACTTTGGTTTCTCCTCTCAGCATTCACTCCACTTTGGGTAAAATAAATAATACTTAAAAATACTAAAACTAATTGCTAATACGTAGTAAGTGCTTCCTACGTGCTCTCTATGTCCTTCCAATGAGCTCACTAACCAGCAGCTCAACCAGTCAGCCCCAGTCACTTCACCTAAGCTCCACTTAGCAGTGACAGCTTGAACTACAACCTATTGTGACCTTGCATGACTATCAGTGACTTGACAACCTAACCTCACCTGTCTCTTGGTGTAAGGATGCCCTCCTGAGTCAAAAAGGATTTATGATCCCTAGGAACAAAGAAAGAAAGGCACCTGAGGGGGAAGGCAGCTATATGAAAAAATTCCATTTTTTAACTTTTATACCTCAGTTTCTTCCACAATTGATTTAAATGGCTTACAACAACCTCATTAGCAAGAAAAAGGTGAGACAACCAAAAGAAAAAAAAAATCTTTAAGCCAGAGGAAAAGAAAAACACCAACACCCAACAAAAGTCATTAGAGCCATTGTGACTAAAGATCAGACTTTCAGATTTGATACAGAGATTCCTGAATGTAAAAACAAAAAACAAAAATAAAACACAAAACACAAAAGAAGAAGAAGAAATAACAGTCAGTCTGTGGTTCTCATTTCCAGCATACCTATTGCTCAGGGGAAATAAAGATTTTCCTAGCACTAAATTCTAAAGGATACACCTTCTGTGGGTTTTTATAGAGTGACATTGAATGATTTAAAGACCTATATGTTTATGGGAAATTCCATTTACCTCATGCAGCAAATATTTCTCAAGTCTCTATAGTAAGGTCCTGTACTAGCACAGCACAGCGAATATAATACTGATTTAGCTAAAAAATAAAACACCCAGAACCATGCCTGGCACACACTAGCTGCTACTGCAGCTGTTACTGAAACTACCTAGCTATTTCTTAGTGACCTTTTTACCCAGAGAACATAAGTCAGTTGTCCTCAAGGCAGATAGTCAGTGACTGCAATTCTACAAGGGATCCATCACACAAACATAGCACATGACCTTTTGGTGGCTAGATTTGGTTGAGAATAGAATTCAGAGGGCATAAAAGAATGGACTGATAGTTACATGTTCCTAAGACTCTTTATTTTTTTAATCACATTATTTATTTATTTTTCAGAAATAGAATTTAGTGATTCACCAATTACATATAACACCCAGTGCTCATCCCAACCAGTGTCCTGCTTAATGCCCCTTGCCCCTTCAGCCCTTCCTTCAACCCAACACCCCACCAGCAACCCTAGTTTGTTCTGTTTTTAGGAGTCTCTCATGGTTTGTCTCCCTCTCTGTTTTTATACTATCTTCCCTTCTCTTATATTTATCTGTTTTGTATCTTAAATTCCACATATGAGTGAAATCATATATTTGTCTTTCTCTGACTTATTTTGCTTAGCATAATACACTCTAGTTCCATCCACATTGTTGTAAATGGCAAGATTTTATTCTTTTTGATTGTCAAGTAGTATTCCATTGTGTATATATAAACACCACACTTCTTTATCCATTTATCAGTTGGAGGACATTTGGGCTCTTCCCATACTTTGACTATTGTCAATAGTGCTGCTATAAACACTGGTGTGTATATGCATCTTCAAATCAGCATTTTTGTATCCTTTGGATAAATACCTAGTAGTGCAATTGCTGGGTCATTGAGTAGTTCTATTTTTAATTTTTTAAGGAAACTCCACACTGTTTTCCAGAGTGGCTGCACTAGTTTGCATTCCCACAGCAGTCATAAGGGTCCCCCTTTCTCTGCATCCTCACCAACATCTGTTGTCTGAGTTGCTAATTTTAGCCATTCTGATAGGTGTAAGGTGGTATCTCATAGTGGTTTTGATTTGTATTTCCCTGATGATGAGTGATGTTGAACATTTTTTCATGTGTCTGTTAGCCATTTGGAGTCTTTTCTGGAAAAATGTCTGTTCATGCCTAAGACTCTTTCTTAAAGGTCATGTATTTTTCAGCAAAGCCTTTGATAGAAGAAATTTCAGTTAGATAACCCCATGTCATTCAATTAAAGGCATAGATATGCAACCCCAGAGAGATAAACTATTTCTTCTGCTCCCTAAATTGAGGATTTCACTGGAGAGAACCCCAAAAGTGAACACTCAAATTTCTAATCTCCCCTATTCAAGGATGTGTTAAGAAAAGGAGAGTTGGGCACCTCGGTGGCTCAGTCGGTTAGGCAGCCGACTTCAGCTCAGGTCATGATCTCACAGTTCATGAGTTTGAGCCCAGAGTCAGGCTCTGTGCTGACTGCTTAGAGTCTGGAGCCTGCTTCGGATTCTGTGTCTCCCTCTCTCTCTGCCCCTCCCCCGCTCACACTCTGTGTGTGTTTCTCTCTCAAAAAAAAAAAAAAAATAAAAAAGAAAAAAAGAAAAAGAGGGTTGGCCAAGTTGTGTAAAATGCCCATCACAGTGCCACAGAAGCAGGGGCTCAATGTTTGTCCCCTTTACTCTTCCTTGTCCACTAGTTTTGTGGGGTTTGCTTTGTTTTATTTTGTTTTTTAGTTTGGTCCTGTTGTTTTGCTCTTTCTTAAAGTGCCAGAGATTATGATGTACATGACCTGCACAGAAGACTCCCAGGACACGAGTCCCTAGAGAGGTTGGGTCCTAAAGACACATCTCTTCTTCCAAGAGGAAGAGAAGGGGAAACTGAACCACGACTGTTCAACCATCGGGCACTAGCCAACATCAGTGTAAGTTGATGGAGCTTGGTTCAAAAGCCCTCTCTGGATGTTGCTCTCACTGGAGGTACCATGGACAGTTATACAGATTGCTTACTATATATACAAGGGTACCTACAAAGGGAGAAAATGAGAGCTGAAATCCATTCTGTGTTAACTCACTATGCCCTGTACCCCAATATGGGACTGCATCCTTCTAAAGGATGGGGTGCCTGTTTCTAATTCCTACAAAGGTACGAACAGGAAACTTCAGTTTTCCTACACATACCACTTCTGACACCATATGTATGGAGTCTTTTCCCATATCAATCAATTCTCCAACTCAAAGGACACCAATTGGGTGTCTAACTCTTTTTTTGTGTGGGAGAAGGGATGCCTGTCCTACAATTCAATTCTGACACTACCTGGAGTTAGCACAGACCCCGCAGGTTAAGGGTGAGCTCAGACCCACAAGACTTCTCCCCAACTTCAGACACCAATCACAAGTCCCAGGTTGTCACCTATACTTCTGACCAACAAGCTGTGAATAGAGGGTTCCCGCACCCCTTCTTCAGCTTTGATAATTTGCTAGAATGGCTCACAAAACTCAGAAAAACATTTATTTACTATAATTGATTTATTACAAAGAATATATTTTTTTAATTTTAAGTAATTTCTACCCCCAACTTGGGGCTTGAACTTACAACCCCAAGATCAAGAGTTACACATTCCACCAACTGAACCAGGCAGATGCCTCTTACAAAGGATATTTTAAAGGATACAAATGAACAACCAGATAAAGAGATACATAGGGCAGGATCCAGAAGGGTCCCCAAAATAGGCACTTCTCTCTCCATGGAGTTTGAGGTGTGCCACCTTCCTAGCATGTGGATGTGTTGGATGTGTTCACCAACCCATAAGCCATCCAAACTCCTTTGCTTCAGGTTTTTATGGAGGCTTCATTACATAGGCATTGATTGATAAAAGCATTGTCAAATGATACTTAACCTTTAGCCTTTTCTCCCTTCTCTGAGGTTGGGGGTGTTGGGCTGAAAGTTCTAACCCTCTAATCATATGGTTGGTTTCCCTGGCAACCAGCAACCCACCACCTTAGGTGCCTTCCAAAAGCTCATTAACACATCTCAGGTGTGGTTGAAAGGGGTTTATTAATGACTAACAAAAGCCACTCTTACTACATTTATGCTCCAAACATTACAATGGTTTTAGAAATTCGGTGCCAGAAACTGGGGATGAAGACCAAATATCTATTTCTTATGTCAAAATATCACAAGTACTAAGGTATCCACTCTGCCATCCTCTCTTCGGAGGAATCTCCATTTTTGTCCCAGACCATGGGGAAAGGTAAAGACTGACATGACTCATCTGCTTGAGAAACCTCCAGAAAGTTAGCAAATGATACAACAGTAAATAAAGCTGGTTTGATTTAAACTAGTTAAATATTAATTATCACAATAGCAATCTATCAAATTGAAAATTGCTTCACTTTGATCCAGCTCTGTAGATCATGATTTAGCATCCAAAAAGGGGACAATCATAAAATGTATTCTGTTCCTCTTTACTCCCATGACGTTATACCTAGCAGTTTTAAATGAAAGGCTGAACCTGAGGATCTCCCACCAGCTCCATTCTAAGACTTGCTCTCCAGCTTCATGTGGAACCCACCCCAGTTCCATTCTAAGCCATTCTGTCTTGTTCAAGACAATCTCCCTTTGATGGGTTTCTTTTGTTTGTTTGTTTCCTACACATATCATGGTCCTTTTCCTTAATTTTTCACCTTTAGGAGATGGAGTTGATTGGCAAAGCCAAGAAAAAGAAAAGAACCAAGACAGACAAGTCCAAGGGAGAAGGGAAGATCCACAGGAAAGCAGAGGCTGCTGCTGGTAAGAGAATGTGCCCTTGGGGAATGACCCAAGAAAAGACAAGTAATGTGGGCTGGGAGGTGTCACAGAGAATTATCATGAATCTAATGAGACAAACTACCTATTTTGAGTCTTTTTGACTACCTCAGTCAAGACGGTACTACAGCCTTACTTCCTGTCAGTATCTTAGGAGATAGAGAAGAGAGAGGAAACCAAGGTTGCCTGGAGACCTGTGATCAAGATAAGAAATAATAATAGCACCTATTTACTGAATACTCACTTTATTAAGAGCCCTACATATGTGACATTATGAAATCCCTAAAACATCTTCATAAACTAAGCGTTATTATTATATCATGTAGTGGTTGAGGCTTGACAGAGATTGAGTGGCTTGAATAACACCAAACAGATCAAACAGTGAAGTGGTGGATCCAAATGCATGCTGTTACCATGGCCTCTATGAACTAATAACTGTACCATACTTTGAAAATTGGGCAGTGAAAGCTTTGGGAAGGGGAAAGATAAAAACAAGCTCTGAATTATTACCCTAGTTACCATTTTTCTTCTTGGTTCCCTGTCTTGTACCTTGCAAGGAATTTAGATTCCCATGCTTCTGAAAACTTTCTTTAGCCTATAACTTACACCTATTCTTTCCTGGCCACATGATTCAGAAGACAAATCAAAGGTTGTCAGAAAGGATGACACTGGATCATCTCCTGAGCTCAATCTATTTTTGAGATTTGCTTTTTAATTTTTTTAATGTTTTATTTATTTCTAGGAGAGAGCGAGAGAGACAGCGTGAGCAGGGGAGGGTCAGAGAGAGAGGGAGACACAGAATCTGAAGCAGGCTCCAGGCTCTGAACTGGCAGTCAGCACAGAGCCCGACGCGGGGCTCGAACCCACAAACCGCGAGATCATGACCTAAGCGAAAGTTGGACGCTTAACCGACTAAGCCACCCAGGCGCCCCAATTTTTGAGATTTGCTTTTTAAAGTCTTGCTGACTTTACATAGTTGTAGCCCATAATGGGTTGCATTGGCAGGACTTGAAAAAGGAAATACTTGTTGTCCCCAGAGGTGAATTGAAAAGGAGTTCTTAGAGTGTGGAAGGCTTAAACTTTGCCAGGCTATGAAGCTGCAGCCCCAAGCCAGACTCTTGAGACAGGACTTTCCATCTGTGTCTGTAGTTTTCTCCCCTGGAGAGTCTTGCCTCTACCGTAGGTCAGGGTGAAACAGAACTTTTTTACAAGACTATTGAATTACAGTTGATCCACATAGGATAAGGCAGTTTCTCAAAAGGTGGTCTGTGAACCATCCTTCTCAAAACATTTGCAGTGCTTGTGAAATGGCAGATTCCTACAGAGTAAGACTCTAGGAGTGGGGCTCAGGAATCTGCACCCCAGGTGATTCCATTGCATACTGAAGTTTAAAAGCTACTGAAAATGACGCAGAGATCACATTTACTTAGCTACACTTCTGTCTCCCCAATTATTCTCCTCCAGGAAAGTTAAAGGAATCAAAGACTGAAAAGAAATTGGGGCTAATTCCCAAAGAAAGGAAGCCAAGAACCAATAGGAAAAAAACACAGAAGAAAAGGAATCTGGAAGTAGCAGCAGAACTGAATGAACCTGATGTCATTAACTCTAAGGAAATAGAAGACACTTCAGATAGAGGTTTCTCTCCTTCAGGTTCTCTTGTAGAGGACCCTTGGCTTTCCTCCAAGTATGATGCTCCAGAGAGCCAGGTGTCCATAGATGGAAGATCTTCACCCACACAGGCTGTACCTGTCACTAGAAACATGGAATCTAAAGAAGAAAGAAGCTATGATGACCCTTCAAAGGTGAGGTCCAATAGTCTCACCTTGGCCAGATTTCTGTTCTCACTCGTACAACCGCAGAGGTGGGAAAAACGGCCCCAAATTATATTGCAGTTATTGAAACAGCAGTACTCCATAATAGTTTTATTTGTTCTACTTTGATACCTTCTGACCCTTTAAGAAGCCAGAGCTGATCAAAGACGCAGTTTGGCAAAGCCCCTCTGAAATGATGCATTCTGTGAGGCCCCCAAACTGCCACAGCATATACTCATCCCTTAAAGAGCAGGAAGCTGGCATGGCCTCACAATTGCAGGGAAAGGTGGATTCGAGCCATCAGAGTCAAGCACACACATATCCCTGACTTGGCCTAGAACTAAATCTTTGCCTGCCTCCCAAAGGCTATGGAAATTCCTCCTTTCCTAATCTGCTTTTCTGTAGCACACACCTGTGCCACAGGCCCCTTATACACACATATCTATCTGTCTTTACAAGGTGCTTTGATATATAGAAGTAATTTTGTTCCAAGAGCCTTGATTCTCATGTCAGGTATTTAAGAAAAAAACTGAGTAAGTGTAAGGAAAATTACTCTTGAAAACCCCTGCAATGAATCAAAAATAATACCATACAGATATATTTCTCAATAAGACCAACGTGACCAATTTTTCCTCTGCTGTTGGGATAAATCACAATTTTTTCCACTGAGATGAAGGTGCCAAACTGCATTTAGAGGTTTTGTTGTAGGGGGGGAAGAGTATCTTTAATTACAATTATACCCACAGCTAAACTGCTATGGTTGAACTCACATAAGTTACATGTGTGTATGGTATAACTTTGCTGAATCTCATTTAATCTTTATAGCCACACTTGTGAGCCAGATGTGATTATCCCCATTTCAGAGACCTAGAAACTGAGGTTTGGAGATAAGTGTTCATTGCCAGTTGCCACAACACCATCAAATGGTAGAGCCAAGACTTAAACCCAGGTCCTTTGTCTCTAAATTCAGGGTTCTTGTCAGTTTTAAATTATTATGTTTTTCTTTATTTTATAACCCATGATCTTCTAAAAAAAGGATGTCAGAAAGATCTTTACTTTATAGTTCCCAAACTGCCCAGCTGCCTGGACTATAGAATTCTGTTCTACACCACAGATGAAAATTTTAAGCTGTGGGCAGAACATTCCTGAGCCTACTAGAGAATCAGAATTTCTTAACTTTACCATTAACCCATAGTACTGTGCTGCCTCTGCACAAGCTATAAAGCCAGGAAGTTTCACCCCAAGTTGGAATCATAGAGCTCCTATGGAAGAGTTGCATTCAAAGTTGCCCTTGTGGGCTTATTTCTGACTGTGGCGGGGATGATAGGGAAAAAAGAAAGCTAAGACACTCTTCACGTAAGCTGAGAGAACCTTTCACTGAAAAAGTGGGTTTGCATGGCATTAAATGTGAGTCTAACACATTTATATCTAAGACCACCCCTGGTAAAATGGCCTTTACCTAGAACCTGTGGGTCCCAGGTCTGGCTTCACTAGGATCACCTGAGCCTAGATATTCTCATTGAATTGGTCTGGGTGTGGCCTTGGCCTCACAAAATTTTTAACAGCTCCTTAAGTGACTGTAAAGTGCAGCTAGGGTTGAACACTCCAGACATGCAATGTGCCAGACGTTATTTTGGCACTTTCGCTATTTCAATTAATCCCAGTAACAGCCCCAAGGGGAAGACAATGTCAGGGAAACCAAGTCCTGACCTCCAAATCCTGAAGCAAGTAAGAAACTTGGACCCAGTCCAGTCAGACCCCAGAGCCCAAGCCCAGCCAGAGACTGTGGTCCCAGTGGAAACACTCAATGACTCCATCTCTGACTAGAGACAATGCACCCTGTGGGGTGGAGGAGGGCTCACCCCTGAGACAGGCTCTCCCTTTCACTAAGAGCTCTCTGGTTCCTTAGGCCCTCCTCGCCAAGAGGGAACAAGAAGAAGCTTCCCGGGACAGGCGGAGAGCAGAGAGGGCTGAGATGAGACGCTTGGAGGTGGAGAGGAAGAGAAGGGAGCAGGAAGAGCAGAGGCGGCTCTTGCAGGAGCAGCTGCAGAGGGCAGAGAAGATGAAGGAGGAGCTGGAGCTGGAGCAACGAGCCCGCACGGAGGAGATCCGGTGCGTGGAGCAGCTGCAGGCTATGGCCGCCTCGGGAGGCAGCAGGAAGAGGCTGAGGCTGACCTCCACCGGGGACAGAGTTGGTTCTGAGGCTCATGCCCAGTAGTAAAACAGCACATCTCGTTTTCCTGTCCTCAGTTATCCTGAGAATAACTGGGACCAAAGATCAGGTGTAGTGTCCTGACCATTAGGATCTTCCCAGGAGGGCTTTGTGACTCAGCCCAGCAAATGCTTGTTGAGCCCCTATGACAGTCTGCATTGTGGAGATTCTCTCATAGGCTTTGACTCGCCTAATTTAATCTTCTGTGAGGCTGGAGTTTAAAGATCCATCTTGTACAAATGGAAAATGAAGCTCTGGGATCATAAGGCCCCTACCCCGGAGCACAGGCCTGTCTGGTGAAACTTCAGGCTTCGCTTCCAGGCCGGTGGTGTTCTTGCTTCTGCTCTTTACTCAGGCTTCCCTTGGAAGCCCCACTGTCCTCTGAATGGGATGCTCCGTGGGGCCTGTAGCCGCAGGGCCTCCACCAGGGGCACTGCCTGCTGCCTAGTCTCACAAGAATGCCCCCGTGTGAGTTTCCCTGACCATCTTGTGGGTTTTCTCAGCCTGAGGAAACAGAGACTCGAAGAAGAACGGCAGCAGCGGGAGGAGGAGGAGAGGAAGCAGCAGCTTCAGTTGCAAGTGGCCCAGGAGAGACTCCGGCAGCGACAGAATGAGTTCCGGAGGAAACTGCAAGAACTGCAGACACAAAAGCAGCAGGAGGAAGCCCGGAGGGCTGGTGAGGGGCATTCTGGAGCGACCCGCATCTCCTGTCTACCTGGGGCCGAGCATTTCTATTCCACTGTGGGTGTTCACTTGAATCTCCCCAGCGTTATTCCTATCCTACGCCGAGTGTGTGGAGCACTCTAAATGTATAAGCGATTTTCTTTTTCGAAGTGATTAATATGTGTGACTACAGTGAGTTAGAAGATCAAAATAAGACAGACTCACTTGTGGAAATGACTCTTGGGTCCCACTCCCAATTCAGTCATCTCCCAAACTGGAATCCTGCCCCTCCCTTTGCCCTTTTAGCAACTGCTCAGGAGCTGCCTAAATTGGAGACATAGCCCTGCCCCTTGCTTCTTTCCCTAGCAAATGGAAACAAAACATCTGGATAGCTTCAGGGCAGCCTTTCAGGCGCTTATATGTAGAATCTCTACAGCCTCACCTCTGAGGAAGTGGAACTAGTGGTCAGCAGATGACACCCTTTAGGCTGGTCAGTCCAGCTGAGTAAGCACCAAGTTTCTCCAGACCCTGATCTGATGCCTCTCCCCAATGATCTGCATACCACCTGTGAGCACCCCCTTTGGAAAATTCTCCCTTAAGGTTTTGTACTAATTGCACACTGTAGGTGCTTGATAAAGGAGGACTCTTAAATTTGTAATTTAACCCCAACATGATCCCACAGATCTGGCAGTCTGTTGGCAGGTAAGCAGCACAATATCTCATGGGGAGTCCCTGGGAATTACAGACTTGAGTGTTAGGCCAGAGAACTGTTTTCTCCAGTAATGCTGGAGCCCTGCTGAGCCTACCCCTTTTCTATTCTGCAGAGGCTGAGAAGCAAAGGCAGAGGGAATTGGAAATGCAGTTAGCAGAAGAACAAAAACGCCTGATGGAAATGGCTGAAGAAGAACGGTTAGAGTACCAGCGGCTGAAACAGGAAGCAGAAGAGAAGGCTCAGCAGGAAGCAGTGGAGAGAAGGCAAAGGGAAGAGGAAGCAGGGCGGCTGGCCCTGGAGGAAGCCATGAAACAGGCGCAGGAACAAGCCAGGTAGGAGATATATGGGCAACAGTTGCCACAGGGGGATTGTTTCAAGGGCTTGATTCCCTGGTGCTAGTACTACATTTGCACTGCCTTTGGACAAGTGAAGTTCTCCCACTTTCCATATGCATGGTTTGGAAGCACTAAAAAACACTCTTTGGCTGCAAATGTCACAGAATTGCTTCATGGCTTATAGAACTTGTATTGAAGCTGGAGGGTTAGATTTCATCTATCTCAGCCTTCTGGTTTACAGATGAGAAAAGTGAGTCCCGAAAAAGGGAAGGATCTTGATCAAGACCAAATAGTGTTAGGGGCAGTACCAGGACCACATCTAAGATCCCCTGGTTCTGAACTACTGCCCTTCTCAGTATTTTTTGGTTACCTATTATATACCAAACACTCTTCTGGACACTGGGAATTCAGGAGTAAGCAAGGCAGATGTCTCTTCTCCCATGGCATTTGCATTCTAGTGCTGAGGGCAGGGAAACAAATAAATAAAAAATAAAGATTCTTTTCTCTTTTTTTTTTTTTTGAGAGACAGAGACAGAGTGCAAGTAGGGGAGGACAGAGTGAGAGGGAGACATAGAATCTGAAGCAGGCTCCAGGCTCCGAGCTGCCAGCACAGAACCCGATGCCAGCTCTCTCTCACAAACTGTGAGATCATGACCTGAGCTGAAGTAGGACGCCTCACCGACTGAGCCACCCAGGCGCCCCAATAAAGATTTTTTTAAGCTGGCCACAGATGTTATACAGAAAACATTTTAAACATGTGATAGAATTGCAGGAGGCTCAGTTTATATTGGTCAGCCAGGGCAACACTTCTCAGAAAAAGTGGATATAAGGTGAAACCTGAATGACAAGGAGTTAGCCACATAAACTTCTAGGAGAAAAATTTTCTGGCAGGTAGACAGCAAGTGCAAAGTTTCAAAGGAAGGAGATTGGCATGCTGGAAGAATAAAAGAAAGATAGAAGAATAAAAGAAATGGCTGGAATTAAGTGAACAAGGCACAAAGAATACTTCCAGATGAGGTCACAGAAGTAAGCGCAGACCAGATCTCATGAGAGCCTTGTTAGGAGAAATAGCACAGAATTAGTTATCAAGGGCCAATGACATTTCCTCCCTCTTTTCTTTTACAATAGTAATGATCATTTCAACATCTCTGATAATAGAATTTCTTGAGTAATGTGGTTTCAACTTTTTTTTTAAAGAAAGAACTTTATTTTTAATGTTTATCTATTTTGAGAGAGAGAGAGGGGAGGTGCACACGGGGGAAATGGGGAGAGAGTCCCAAGCAGGCTCTGCACTGTCAGCACAGAGCCCAACACAGGGCTTGATCTCATAAACTGTGAAATCATGACCTGAGCCAAAATCAAGGGTCAGACACTTAACCAACTGAACCACTCAGGTGCCCTTCAACTGACTCTTTAAAAATTAGGTCCCTCTATAGGTGCTTTCTCATGTATTTCTACTCCTTAGTGAAAGCAACAAATAGACATCCCCCTTTAGAGCCACAAAAATTGAAGGGCAAAGCAGCACAACACAGAAAACCATGTGAGTCCAATCTTGACTATAAACAGTTTACCCCTTGAAATGTATTTTCTACAACTTAAGCTGAGTGTAAACTCTTTAAGGGACCAAAAAGAGAAGGCAGCAAGAACAATTCTATTTCAAGGTTTTCTACCCAACCTGGATTTGTTCCTTTCCTGGACTTTATTCAGATGTTTTGTTGTTGCTGCTGCTGCTGTTTTCTAGCTGTTATGTGAGTTACAAAACAGACCACTAAAGAAGTCTTGATTCAATTTCAAAATTATATATTCCATGTATCACAGCAGCAGGACTGGGTTCTTAAGTATTGAGACCAAAAGCAAGCTAAGCAATTTTGTAAGTCTAGCCCAAGTAGCTGAAAGCAGAAAACTTAGTGACTAAAGCAGTGTGTGAGGGGTAGAGTCTCACTCCACCAAGGTTTAGAACTTGATCCCAGCTAGCTTTACTTCATCTTCACTTGTGTGACTTTGGCCCAGGTACTTGTAACTTCTCTGGTCTGTTTCATCTCTAAAGCAAACGAGTCTCTTCCAACAAGACGAGTTTTAAGAACTGTGAGTTTGGCCTTTCACTTTTCCAGTAGTCTATGAAACTCTAAACCTCATGTGTAAAGTTACTAAATGAATAGAGTACAATTTTCTACTAAAATGGAAGATCAGTAGCCCCAAGTCTAACTGATGGTTGCTCAAATCCAAAGTTCTTCTACTAGCTTATAGAGACAGTTTCTAAGATCCTTAATCATACTGGGATTGCGGGTGGGTTGTCTCCTTAGGCAAAATGCTGCTTTGAAGAAACATCTTCAGTTCCACCAAGAACTCTCTAAGGAAGCCAGTGGCCTGCAGTGGACACAGAACATTTCCAGATCATGGGTGTACTCTTACTTCCAGTTCCTAAAAATACCGAAAACTTAAAGCTAGAAGAAACCTTAAAAGTAAGTTGGGAGTGGTGACAGAAAAAGAGAAACTTCTATAATGAAGTTGCATTTCATCTGGTTAACCTCAACCCACACCTAACTTCACTCTAGGACCTCCATTTCCACCACCCTTCCCCACCACACATACTTAACTCAAAGTCCTTACTCACCTAAGTCCTTTATGTCCTCTAGAACCACATAAATCCAGCTTTGGTGCCTAAAACGGACCAATAATTTCATTTGTTTGAATTTGTCAGCAAATTCAGTTTAATTTCAATTAAATAAGATACTAACATCATTTTAGGATAATCAAAGTATTTCATTTCACAATGTGTCTGAGTTGATAAAATGAGAATTCCATAACGCAAATTAATTCTGAATAAGGTAAAGAGTTAATTCATATATATATATGAAATGGATGTGGTTTTGCCTTTATATATATGTTTAAAGGCAAAACCACATCCATTTCAGCCTAAGGATCTAAAATTTAATGCCCTTTGAAAACAAGGTAAGCATTTGATAAATGTTCATTTGAGTAAAATTAGCTATTTTGTGAGGGTATTCTCGCTTCCTCGAAGTATATATTCTAGAGCTGCACTGGCTTATATGCAGCCACATGTAACTATTTAAATGTTAAGTTAAAACATTCAGTTCTCCACTCACAATAGCCACATTTCAAGTGCTCAACAGCAACATGTAGCTACCGGCTACCTTACTGGACGCTACAGATGTAGAACATTTCCATCATCATAGAAAGTTCTACGGGACAGCCCTGTTCTAGACTCCTGATAATTAACGAATTTTGAGGGTTTGTTTCTCTGCCTTTAAGATCCAACCACTCACATAATTTCCCCCTTTTAAAATCATACTGACACTATTAAGGAATAGACTTATTTTTCTTAACATCTCTTTAAATATCACAAAGTGTCTAGTGAGTTTCTATCATAGAATTATCATCAAAAGGGATGAAAGATCTTTACAAGATCTATAAAAGGATGTTAGGGCAAGCAGTATCTGAACTGGAATTTTCCCACAAACCTCAGTGTCTGCAGCTGAAAAACAGTATTTGCAGAGGATTCCCTCAAATTTCTCACCTATACTTGTAAAGTATTTGCTCTTTACAGGAATGGTACTTCTACAATCCAGATGTCAAGCTTAATCTCAAATCTGTACTGCTGTTATGGGACTTGCTGAGATTCGATGCTTACTTTTAACTCCTTTATGTGAAAAAGAAATAAAATGGCCAAAACACTATCAATCATAGTAATTTTATGTCACAAAATTTCTCAAAATTGTCCATCCTACTTGCACACTCATTCATTCATTCGACTCATTCAATAATACTTAAGCAGATGAGAAAGGACCGTATCAAATAATAAAAGACCAGAAGAATGAACACTCAAGGAAAACATCCTTGTGGGGGAAATTCCCATTACTGACTTTATTTTCTACCTTCTTTTACAAATTTAGGATGTTGCAGTCAAGCACCAGGTAGAGTAGCTACACTAAATGTTATTCAAGGTCCTTTCCAAATCTGATATTCTATTAAGTTGTTGCTATGAAGTCCTATTTTATCAGCACTACTACACCAGATAAGCACATTTTAAGTTAACCATAGCAGAATGCAATGCATTTTAGAAGAATCTGATAAACTAAAAATAAGATTATTTCCCAAGTACCTAGGCTCCACCACCTAAATGCTGAGAACCTTCAGAGATGCAAACAAAATTAAGACACCAAACTATATACTTACACATTCTGGATAGCTCAAATAGCCTTATCAAATTTGTTACTCACAATTGACAGAAATATGCAATTCAATGAGGATTTTCCAGAAATGGGCCTAATTACTAGTCACTATTTAAATCTAAGTGACAGTCTAAAGGGTCTATTTTACCGAGACTATATATGTATAACATAAATAATTTTTCAGTTAGGGTCAGCTTGGGAATTTTAAGGCAAGCCAATTATTTTTCAACAGGTGAGTAGGGTTATTTAAGCTGTAATGATTTATAAAATGTATTAGAGATAGGCTTTACCTGCTTTTCTAAAGTACTTGGATGACATTTTATCTAGGATAACATGAAATTAGATTGTGTATATGCATACATATACTAAATTCTGTGACTCCTTAGAGTTAAAAGGTTAAGCTCTCTAATAGCAACTAATTTGGTACTTTTACAGAGTTTAAATATTTAAGATCTATAAAGGAATAAAAGGAAAATATAAACAAACTATACCAAACTTTAAGCAGAGAACATTTTGTAAATTGTTAAAGGAAAAACTTAAAATTATCAATTTAAATCAATTAAGAATTTTTGGCATGCCCATTTATTCAACATGATTGGGTAACTATATCATATATATGCACCATACAAGGATACCAAGTTAAAAAAAAAACACACAAAAAAACAGAACACTGAGTATTTAAGAAGGTAAGGTGGCCTTAGTTAAATCCTTAATTCAAAGGCACTTCAGCAGCTTTCAGTGCTTCAGTCATGATCATCATCACTGTACAGTACTGAAAAATTTATTTGTACCATGTACAAACAATAATTTCCAGTATTATGCAAAAAAGACCTTATGTTTTAGGCATTTTTTCTTTCTATACAATTAAAAATAAAATGAACGTTAGTACGGTTTTTACAAATATTTTGTTTATTTTAATGAAGCTGGTACAGACAATGTCCATTTAAAACCCATATCCCAGGCCAAAAAGTACAAATAAAATCAAAAAGAGCAGTGTTCTGTTGAATACACTTCTGCATGAATAACTTTATTAACTGCTAATGAAAATTAGAACTTTTCTGGGATCTTCTGACAAGACTTTTCTTTTATCTTAAAATGCTTTCTCTTCAGTGAAGCCATCTTTGGAGTTAGTCGTTACTCTCACGATCTCTGTATCTTGACTCCAGCCTGATATTTCTCTTCTTTTGGTCCAGACCCTCAAATTTTAAAAGAAGCTTCAAGTTAAGGAAAAGTCATTTTTCCACAGTTCAGTTCTCTGAAAAACTTCCATCTCCCACTGAAAGTCATAGTCCAGGAGTGAAGCAATCACATACTAGAACTTCAGGGCCAATTGGAAAGTCATTATGAACACTCGCATTGGTCGATCTTATTTATCACAAGCCTGAAAATGCACAGTCCTGGAAAAGGTGGTGGCCTCTCTGTGCACACATATAATTTTTAAAAAGGAGAGGGCAATATGAAGGGGGCTGAGGTTTGATCACCAAAAATCAGCACAATGAATACAAGTGATAATGAATAATGGGCACTAGAATTCAAATTACCAGATGTTTTAAAGAGATGGGGTGCCAGTTTTCATTTCCATTTTGAACACCACATTACAAAAGAACTATTTTTAAAAATAAAAAAGGATTGAGGGTAAAGAAAAAAAATAGAAAGAATATCTAAATCGTTGAATGACCCCCTGTTTGTTCCTGATAAACTTCAATCACATCTTCTTCCTCCATTCCCAGCTGTAAAAGAGGGGAAAAAATATGTTAGAATACAAAAGCACTATTTTTTAATTGGCTGCATTATGTGGCCACTGTTTTAAAGTGCAAAAAACTGGGGCACCTGGGTGGCTCAGTTAGTTAAGTGTCTTGACTTCGGCTCAGGTCATGATCTCTTTGTCTGTGAGTTTGAGCTCTGCATCTAGCTCTGTGCTGACAGCTCAGAGTCTGGAGCCTGCTTCAGATTCTGTGTCTCCTCCTCTCTCTGCCCCTGCTATGCTCATGCACTGTCTCTCTGTGTCTCTCAATAATAAATAAATGTTAAAAAAAATTTTTTTTAAATAAAGTGCAAAAAAATGCTGAAGTGATCCACAGTTATCCTATTTTAAGAATCTGGGTTTCCTTTATATTTTAAAAAAAATTTTTAATGTTTATTCATTTTTGAGAGAGGGAGAGAAGCAGAGCACGAGCGGGAGAGGGAGAGAGAGAGGGGGAGACACAAAATCTGAAGCAGGCTCCAGGCTCTGAGCCTGACACAGGGTTCAAACAGACAAATCATGAGATCATGACCTGAGCCAAAGTCAGACACTTAACCAACTAAGCCACCCAGGCACCCCGAATCTGGGTTTCCTTTAATATGAAGAACATAGAGGTATGTCTGTTCTCCTGATTCTATGAAGTCATTCTTCTGACCCTTCTAACCTCAGCATATAATTTACTAAGCATATAAAGTATGTTTTTTAAAAGTACCTCAAAAACAGTGTCAAATCTAATGAAACACGTATTCAATAAACAGTGTGATAGTATATTTTCTAAAAAATCATTTTACTTCTGGATATAATTACCTTATAGGATCGCTTTTATTTCAAAAAAACCTTACTTCATTTTGAAATATATGTGTTTTAGTTAGAAAAATACTGCCTAAGGACTCATTTCTAAGTGGTCTGCTTTGTCATCTATAATTCCTTCTAGCATGTAACTGTTAGTTTTTGGTAGTGACCACTCTCAATGTAGAAACGTTACCTATACATCTACTCTTATTCAATAACTCAAGGTTTATAATTTTATAAGCTAGATGTCAACCTAGCCTTTCTCAATTCTTAAGGGAAAAAAAAGGGGGGATCCTTCAAAATGTCTTTTACAGAACACTAATAAGCAAAGTAGAGGCAATTATTGTGTGGTTGTTGTTGCTTTCTTTTTAATGTGTTTATAACCACTGAAATACTCTGGAATTTTCTCTTAAAGACATTATTAACAATGGTTGCCTCTGAGAAATGGGAATGTAGAGATATTCAGAGTATATATTTACTTTCCGCTTTATATATTTTGGTAGTTTGTTTTATTACTTTTATTTTTAACTATGAGTATTCTTTATTTAAAAAAAAAAAAAAGAGTACATAGGGGGCAGAGTACATAAAGAGTACATAAAGAAACCCAGGTATGACCCTCAGTGAGGGTAAAGGACCATGAATCTATTATTCTGTTGTGCAGTCAGGGTTCAGAAGCACTGTAACAGGCATGCTGAAAACAAAAACTAGCATCGTTTCCACGAAACTACAGTGGATCACAAAAGCAAATGAAAAATAAAGGAAAGTATAAGATCAATAATCGCTAATGAGAAAAGTTATAGGTGACAGTTTTTGGTACAGAATTACAAAATATGAAAAAATACTCTAAGAAATCTAAAAATAAAACAGACATAGGAGCACTTGGAAGGCTCAGTTGGTTGAGTGTCTGACTCTTGATTTTGGCTCAGGTCATGTTCTTACAGTTCTTCATTTCGAGCTCTGCATAAGGCTCTGTGCTGACAGAGCAGAGCCTGCTTGTGATTCTCTCTGCCCCTCCCCAACTCTCTCTCTCAAAATAAATAAATAAACTTTAAAAAAATAAACATGGATTTAGGACTTCTTAAGTGATTTAGGTTGGCTCTAGTGTTATAGATATCTTGGTTGTGGTCTATACATGAATATTAAAATACTCATTAAAGATGCCAGGGCACCTGGTTAAGCCTCCAACTTCAGCTCAGGTCACGATCTCACAGTTTATGGGTTCAAGCCCCGCATCAGGCTCTGTGCTGACAGCTCAGAGCCTGAAGCCTGCTTCAGATTCTGTGTCTCCCTCTCTCTCTACCCTTCCCCTGCTCACTTGCTCTCTCTCAAAAATAAACAAAAATTAAAAAGAAAAGATGCTATTAAAACTGAAACGCCTTTAAGTCAGGAAATCAGCAAATAACCTTCATCCATGGAAAATATGAAGCAATCAGCCTCAAGAAGTACATTAGTAGACAAGAATGAACAACAGTACAAGGAACTTACTCCCTAAATATACATTGTCTCACTCTGGTCCATTATGCTTCTGAAAAGATAATCTTTTAATAATAGTGAGGAATGGGCCACTAAAATGTAGTATCTACTGTGTTGCAGAGATTATGTCAAATTAGGACAGGGAAAATACAAGATGAGTTTGGAATATCTTACTGTGCCAGACATTAAGAAAGTACTCAAGAGGCACCTGGCTGGCTTAGTCAGTGGAGCATGAGACTCAATCGTAGGACCGTGAGTTTGAGCCCCACATTAGGTGTAAAGATTACGAACAAAGAAGGAAAAGGAAAGGAAGAGAAAAAGAAAAGAAGGAAGGAAAGGAACGAAGGAACGAAGGAAGGAAGGAAGGGCGGACAAACTCGAAGTGGGTGGATGTTAAACAAGGGAAAAGTTTGATGACAAAGAGTTATTTACATAGTTTCATAGTATGTCCCCACAAATTACAACAGGAAAAGTAACAACTACATTGTAAAGAAAACAGTTAAAACTCAGTGATAAAAATAAACATTATCAATAAGGGACTTCATGTATTCCAAATGTTATACCCTAAGAAAGACACATCACCATTTAGGTAGAATTCCAGCCCAAAATACATAACCTAAATCTAGTCATGAGGAAACAGACCAGTCCAAATTGAAGGACTTTACAGAAAATAACTGTATTTTTTTAACAATGTAAATATCATGAAAGACAAAGATTGAGGAATTGTTCCAAATTAAAAATGATTAAAGAGACATCTAAATAAAATATCTTGATACTGAACTGGATCCTGTGATAGAGGAGGAAATTTGTTATAGAAGACATAATTGGGACAAATGACAAAATTAGGTTGTAAAATATTCTAACAGTGGTAAGTATCCTGAATTTGATTAAGAGTACTGTGGTTATGTAAAGGAGTATACTTGTTCTTAAGAACTACATCCTAAAATATTAAGTAGTAAATGACCATGGTGTATGCAACCTAACTCCCACATGGTTCTGGTAATAAATATAAATATACACACATATATGTGGGCAGAGGGAAATAAGTAAAGGTAGCAAAACGTTAAAAAAAAAAAAAGCCAATCTAGGTGGAAGCAAGTATAATTTTTAGTACTACTCTTGCAAGTTTTCTGTAAGATGAAAATCATTTCAAAATAATAACTTGGAAAAAGATGGGAATGTCAAAAAGAATACAGACACCAATTTGAAGGGGCTCCCACTGGCCAATATCTAAAGAATGTTCTCAGAGTTTCCTCACAAAGTACTAATTAATTAAAAGGAAAACGGTAGGAGCACATGGGTGGCTCAGTTGGTTGGGTGTCTGACTCTTGTTTTCAGCTCAAGTCATGATCCCAGGGTTGTAGGATTGAGCCTCACACTGGGCTCTGCACAGAGTATGGAGCCTGCTTAAGATTCTTTCTACCTCTGCCCCTCGCCCCTGCTCGTGCTCTTTCAAGAAAAACTTAAATTTAAAAAATACCCCAAAAAAAGAAGGAAAGTGATAACTTTACAATGAACATATATGGCAGTTGCACCTTAACTGAAGCTGACCGAAGTTAATGTTACCATAACAGGACAAATGCACATAATGTACCTCCTGATGTGACTGATACACTTGGAAGTACATAATAGCTTTACTCTGTGTTACTCCTACCAAAAATGCAAAACTGCATCTAATCATAAGGAAACAAACCAAAATTGAAACATGGCTTGAAATCTTTAAAAAATGTCCATCTGAGGGGTTCCTGGGTGGCTCGGTCAGTTAAGCATCTGACTTCAGCTCAGGTCATGATCTCACAGATCACGCGTTCAAGCCCCGCTTTGGGCTCTGTGCTGACAGCTCAGAGCCTGGAGCCTGCTTCAGATTCTGTGTCTCCCTCTCTCTCTGCCCCTCCCCCGCCCACACTCTGTCTCTTGAAAATAAACATTAAAAAATTGTTTTAATAAATAAGTAACAAAGACCAATGGAATACAGAACCCAGAATTATACCCACCAATGTATGGCCAACTAATCTTTGATAAAGCAGGAAAGAGTATCCAATGGAAAAAAGACAGTCTCTTTAACAAATGGTGCTGGGAGAACTAGACAGCAACATACAGATGAAACTAGACCACTTTCTTACACCATACACAAAAATAAACTCAAAATGGATGAAAGACCTGAATGTGAGACAGGAAACCATCAAAACCCTCGAAGAGAAACAGAAAACAACCTCTTTGACCTTGGCCGCAGCAATTCCTTCCTGGACACATCTCTAAAGGCAAGGGAATTAAAAGCAAAAATGAACTATCAGGACCTCATCAAGATAAAAAGCTTCTGCACAGCAAAGGAAACAATCAACAAAACTAAAAGGCAACTGACAAAATGGGAAAAGATAGTTCCAAATGACATATCAGATAAAGGGCCAAAGTATCCAAAATCTATAAAGAACTCGCCAAACTCCACACCCGAAAAACAAATAACCCAGTGAAGAAATGGGCAGAAGACATGAATACACACTTTTCCAAAGAAGACATCCAGATGGCCAACAGACACATGAAACAATGCTCAACGTCACTCATCATCAGGGAAATACAAATCAAAGCCACACTGAGATACTACCTCACGCCAATCAGAGTGACTAAAATGAGCAAATCAGAGGACTCTAGATGCTGGTGAGGATGTGGAGAAACAGGCACCCTCCCACACAATTGGTGGGAATGTAAACTGGTGCAGCCTCTCTGGAAAACAGTGTGGAGGTTCCTCAAAAAAATTAAAAATAGAACTCCCCTATGACCCAGCAATAGCACTGCTAGGAATTTACCCAAGGGATACAGGAGTGCTGATGCATAGGGGCACATGTACCCCAATGTTCATAGCAGCACTTTCAACAATAACCAAATTATGGAAAGAGCCTAAATATCCATCAACTGACAAATGGATAAAGAAGATGTGATGTGTATATATATATATACACACAATGAAATACTACTTGGCCTTGAGAAAGAATGAAATTTGGCCATATGAAGCAATGTGGATGGAACTGGAAGGTATTTCCTAAGTGAAGTAAGTTAGTCAGAGAAAAGACAGATACCATATGTTTTCTTTTTTTTTTTAATGTTTTTTTTTTATTTATTTCTAGGAGAGAGAGAGAGAGAGAGAGAGAGAGACAGCATGAGCAGGGGAGGGTCAGAGAGGGAGTCATAGACTCTGAAAGAGGCTCCAGGCTCTCAGCTGGCAGTCAGCAGAGCCCGATGCGGGGCTCGAACCCACGAACCGCGAGATCATGACCTGAGTGAAAGCCGGACGCTTAACCGACTAAGCCACCCAGGCGCCCCAGATACCATATGTTTTCATTCGTATTTGGATCTTGAGAAACCTAACAGAAGACCATGGGGGAGGGGAAAGGGGGGGAAAAGTTACAGAGAGGGAGGGAAGCAAATCATAAGAGACTCTTAAATACTGAGCACAAACTGAAAGTTGATGGGGGCGTGGGGAAGAGGGGAAAGTGCGTGATGGGAATTGAGGAGGGCACTTGCTGGGATGAGCACTGGGTGTTGTATGGAAACCAATATGACAATAAACTTTTTAAAATAAATTGATTAATCAACTAATTAAATAAAAATGTCAACTGAGTAACTGTTCCAGATAAAAGCAAGCTGAAGAGGGTAATAACTAGTTAGAATACACTAATCCTAGAAGGGATCCCAGGTCAAGTTTTTTTTAAAAAGGCTATAAAGGACTTCAGTGGGATAAATGGCAAAATCTGACTATTCTGACTGCACATTCAATAACAGTACTGTATCAATGTCAAATCTCTTATATCTGATCATTTAACTGTGGCTCTTAGGAGATAACACTAAAATATTCAGGAGTAAAGGGTCATGATATCTACAAATTAATCTCAAATAATCCATCAATGATAAATGTAATATAGAGAAAGTGATCAAGCAAATACAGAATAATATTAGTAACTGGTAAATCTAACAAGGCTATACAAGAGAATATCATACTAGTCTTATAACAACTTAAAATTTGAAATGCTTTTAAAATAAAAAATTAATATGGACATCTAGGTGGCTTAGTCAGTTCAGCATCCAACTGTTGATTTCAGTTCAGGTCATTATCTCAGGGCTGTGGGATCCAGCCCCACATCGAACTCCACGATGAGCATGGAGCCTGCTTGAGATTCTGTTTCCCTCTCCCCACCTTCTCCCTCTACTCCTCTACCCTGCTTGAGCTCTAAAATTAAAAATAAAAAAATTAATAATAACCATACATTGTTCCCATAATCAGAAATATCAGAAATGTTATTTTGTATTTGAAGGGGGAAATCTGTATAAGTATAAATGGATGTGCACACTCACAATCACTCTCACACTTTACTACTTTCAGATGCCTCTCAGGTGACGGGGGATATATAAAAAAGAAGAGTCCATACAAAGAAACAATTTAAAGAATACACAGAAGCATTAAAAACATAAATCAAGATGACAGAGCCAAATATATTAATATACACTCAGCTTCTGTATTAAGTTCTCAAAATGGGTCAAAGATCAAAATTGAACCATTTTAAGGTCACCAGCTCCATGAAAGTGTACTAGAAATCTACCAAATTTGTGAAACACCTATTCCTTTTCAAAAAAATGTATGTGCCTTATGATAATTTCAGTACTCAATTACCACTTTCTACCTTTTTTTCTAAACATTTACATTTATTTATTTTGAGAGTGAGAGAGCATGCAGGTATGAGGAAGGGGCGGGGAGAGAGAGACTCCCAAGAAGGCCCCACACTGTCAGTGTAGAGCTCGATGTGAGGCTCGAACTTGGCAAACCAGGAGATCATGACCTGAGCTGATCAAGAGTTGGGACACTTAGCTGACTGGGTCACCCAGACACCCCTCATCTCTCTCTCTCTCTCTCTCTCTCTCTTTTTTTTTTTTTTTAAAGATTTTGTTTTTAAGTAATCTCTATACTCAATGTAGAGCTCGAACCCTGCATGCTGTACCAACTAAGCCACCCAGGTGCCCCCTACCTCTCTTTTTATTGCCACTTTTTAAAAAAATGTTTTTAATGTTTTATTTATTTTTGAGAGAGAGAAGGAGAGCGAGTGAGGGAGGGGTAGAGACAGAGGGAGACACAGAATCCGAAGCAGGCTCCAGGCTCTAAGCTGTCAGCACAGAGCCTGACGCAGGGCTTAAACCCATGAACCACGAGATCATGACCTGAGCCAAAGCTGGACACTGAACTGACTGAGTCACCCAGGTGCCCTTTATTAGCAGTTTTTAAAGCAGTATGTGGGAAGTTCAACCCAAAAGACTATCTTTTTCTCTGACAAATGATATACCACTTAAATCAGAAAATACTCAAGAAAGAATAGTTTAATACCAGTGAACCAATGATTCAATGCAGAATTTAACATTTTGGGGGAACACCTGGGTGATTTAATCAGTTGAGCATCTGACTCTTGATCTCAGCTCAGGTCTTGATCTCAGGGTTTTGAGTTCAAGACTTGCACTGGGCTCTACACTGGGCATGGAGCCTGCTTAAAAAAAAAGAAAAAGAAAAGAAATTTAATATTTATCTTCACCTACAGAAGAAATTATACTCACTTCTTTTGGAGTGTGATTATCAGCAATTCTCTGACCTTCAAAGAGAAACCTGAGTGAATTCATTGGAACTCCCTAAAAAGGTAAAAAAAACAAAAAAAAAACAAAAAAAACCATATATATCTATATATATACACACAAATCTTAAAAGAGATAGTAGGAACTTTGATGCACAAAAAGCAAACATCAGAGCTTCAACAGAATACAATGAACATAAAGCTACACATTTCTGTTCTATCCTAATTATCATTTATTAAGAACCACCTATTTGCTGAACCCTCCCTATATCAAGTATTTCATATATGTAATCAAAATGTTCATCACAACAATCCTGAAAGGTATGTATTATCACTTTATATTCACTTTATAGGTAGGGAATCTAAGGCATGGTAAGGGCATACATGCCAGATACCAATTTAAGGTCCAATCTATTCCTAAACCTGTGCTCTTAACCACTATTCTATAGAATTTCCTCTAAAATCTGTATGCTAACATAAAAGATAAAATCAGAAACTGGATGAGCACTCTCACTAGCTTCCAACTATACAAGCAAAATTAATTTTAAGCAGATTAAATCACAGATAGTTGGTAAAGCACAGTAGGTAGCCAAGTAAGCTACAGTAAACCTGTGATTAAACAGCACTAGAACTATCAAAAATGTATTAAAGTATATTTTTCTAACCAACTATCCAACAAAAATAGCTAAATGGGAAGAAATGACTCATTTAAAAAAAATGTTTCACTAGTAAGTATAAATCAAAAATAATTTCTTTAGTCCAAAAGTAGAAAAATTAAAACTATCTTCCAAGAAGTATATACATAAATATAGGAGACTCTGCAAATTTACTTGTTTGATCTTAAAATTCTTTCTAGGCTTATATAAAATAACAAACATAACTGACAAGGACAAAATATTCTTGTTTTAATTATAGAATCTTTTAAAAAACATTATCTTCTGTTATGGTCAAAAGAGTTTCTACAGAAACCAATCTATAACATCAAAATGGAAAAATGATTCAATAAATATTTACTTTATATATTTTCCAATCTCTATTGGGTGTTACATACTTCAGAAAAATTAAGTTTCCTGTTCCTTGTATATCAGTAAATACAAGAAAAAATTATCAAGCCTCTCTGAAGTATAAAAACATTTTCTACAGACTGTAAAGTATACTCTGAAGCATAAACAGGTAAGTTAAACCCCCAACCCACCATCTTCAATCTTGGATCAAAGTTCAGCTTTCACCTTAGCACTGTGATTTACCTCTTTACTTTGCATTGTTCTTCCTCAGTAACCAATTCCATCATCCACAGATGGGGTGAAAAGACTAGCTGTTTTGAGGATTAAAAGGCAATGTCTTTAAGGACCAAGCATAGTACCCTTAGTCTTTCGCCTGTGAACATGTCCATTTTAGCTCCTAGCAATATTATTAAAATGTGAACCAGCTGAGCCCCCAATTAATTAGATTTTAGTGAGTTTAACAACTACATCAAAAACAGAGACAGAAGGGGCACCTGGGTGGCTCAATTGGTTAAGCATCTGACTTCAGCTCAGGTCATGATCTTGAGATTCATGAGTTCAAGCCCTACATCAGGCTCTGTGGCAACAGCTCAGAGCCTGGACCCTGCTTCGAATTCTTTGTCTCCCCCTCTCTCTGCCCCTCCCCTACTCATGCTCTGTCCCCCCCTCTCTCTCCAAAATAAATAAACATTAAAAAATATTTAAAAAGAAAATAGAAATATTTGTTTTACTTATCCTAACACCTAAGTGATCTCTTTTCTTCTGACAAACTGATTTTTGTTGGTTAAAAATTTGAACTATAAAAAGCAAACCTTCTAAACTTAAAACCTATAGTACCTAAGTTCATATCATGTAATATAATTATTAAAATCTTAGTTGTCTCCTATAAATACTAATTATATTTTCTATTTTATTAATAATAATGATTAACATTCACTGAGCATTTTTAAGCATCATGTTAACAGCTTTATGTAGGTCATCTTCATGAGGCAGCTACTACCATGTTCCCATTCTACTAAGGGAGAAACAAGGCATATAACTTCTTAAGATCCCACAGTCAGACAGTGGTAGAGCCTGAATTTGAATCCAGACAGGCTAAAGAATTAGTAATTGATTTAATAATCGAGCTCATGAAGGCCAAGATCTGAGGATTTTTATTAATTAATAAATTAATAAGCCTTCATGATTTAAAAAGAATGTTTAATGTTTATTTTTTGAGAGAGAGAGAGTGTGAGCAGGGGAAGGACAGAGAGAGGAGAAATAGAATCTAAAGCAGGCTCCAAGCTGAGTTGTCAACACAGAGCCCATCGCAGGGCTCAAACTCATTAACTGTGAGATCATGACCTGAGCTGAAGTCGCTTAACCAAATGAGTCACCCAGGCTCAGAAAATTCAAGGGGCGCCTGGGTGGCTCAATTGGTTAAGCGTCCGACTTCAGCTCAGGTCATGATCTCACGGTTGGTGGGTTGGAGCCTCGCATCGGGCTCTGTGCTGACAGCCAGCTCAGAGCCTGGAGCCTGTTTCAGATTCTGTGGCTCCCTCTCTCTCTGACCATCCCCTGCTCATGCTGTCTCTCTCTCTCTTTCTCAGAAATAAATAAAACATTTAAAAAAAAAGAGAGAGAGGGAGAGAGAAAATTTTTTCATGTTGAAAATATATAATGTTTAGCATTATACATTATTATGTTTAGTAATTACATTACTGTATTATAGTACTGTAGTACTATATATAAAGACAATAATACTACTATTTAAGTTTAACATATGGCTAAACAGCCCCTGTTAAAAACAAAGAAATTTCACAGTGATCACCAAAAATTACTTGCCTATACTGTTACATATACACGGGTAAGCCATTAAAATAGAAATATTCATATATCTTTACAACTCTGAGTCACTTTTCAAAACAGTTCCACAAACCTTATGAATTTTAATTTTGAAATGGGCCACAATGGGGAAAAAGGCAATTAAACAGGTATAGTTTTCTCCTTCATCTGATAATGATAAAAATAATGAAAGATACTTTTTCTTTTGACAATCTTCCTTACAAGAAAAATTAATGACATATAAAACATTGTATCTTATATCATAACATACATACCTGTCTTTGACAGTATGATTCTTTGAGTTTCTTGAGATGTGTTGTCATTTTCACTTTGAAGTGAATCTCACTGCTATCCTAAGGAGATAAAAGAAAAAAAATTATCCCCTTTGTGTAAACTATTTGCTTTGCTTGAAAACATTATTTAATTACACATATACTACAAATAGAAACATAAACCCTGTCAGTTTCTCACCAAAATATTTTTTTTTAAATATTCTTTTTTTTTTTTTTTTATTTCTAGGAGAGCGAGAGAGACAGCATGAGCAGGGGAGGGTCAGAGAGAGAGGGAGTCACAGACTGAAACAGGCTCCAGGCTCTGAGCTGGCAGTCAGCACAGAGCCCGATGCGGGGCTCGAACCCACGAACCGCGAGATCATGAACCAAGCGAAAGTCGGACGCGTAACCGACTAAGCCACCCAGGCGCCCCCTAAATATTCTTTTTAATATTCCTAACAGGGTTTATTAGAACACTCTAATCATCCTCAAAATTACTTTATGTCCATTTCAAAAGAAATTTACAGTCTGTCTTGGAAGTTAAAATTAGCAGTATAGGGCCTCTGGGTGGCTCAGTCAGGTAAGCGGCCGACTTGAGCTAAGGTCATGATCTCGCTGTTCGGGAGTTCAAGCCCTGCGTCCAGCTCTGTGCTGACAGCTCAGAGCCTGGAGCCTGCTTCCAATTCCGTGTCTCCTCTCTCTACCCTTCCCCTGCTCATGCTCTCTCAAAAATAAACAAACATTTAAAAAAAACTAAAAAAAAAATTTGCAGTATAAATAAAAGCATGTATGTCAAAGAATGCATGCCTTCATAGTTGCACGTCTATTCTGTTTTAAAAACAAAGTAAGTTAAACTGTCACAGACGCCCAAAAGCAACTCAAAACAAAAAGTACCCCTCTACAAATGAAGTACTATTGAAGGTGGTCAAACCTGTAAGAGAAGCATTTACCATAAAATAAGACCAGAAACTCATTTTTGTCATAAAGTCACCCCAGAGTCTGGTTTCTCTCACATGAGTAACGTAAAAAAGAACCTGAGTCAAAATGATGGGACCAGAGATTCTTTTCTTCAAGACTGTCAAACCATCAAGCAACCAACCAAAAAAACAAAACAAAACAAAAACAAACTGGGTGCCACTTGGGTGACTCAGTCAGTTGAGCATCTGACTCTTGATTTAGGCTCAGGTCATGATCTCAGGGTCATAGGACTGACCCTCTATCAGGCTGTGTGCCTGAGCACAGATATTCTCTCTCTCTCTCTCTCTCTCTCTCTCTCTCTCTCCCCCACCCCCCACCTCTACCCCTCTCCCCTGCTTGTGCTCTCTCTCTAAAAAAAGAAAGGAAGGAAGGGAGGGAAGGAGGAAGGAAGAGAGGGAAAGAAAGAAAAACTAATAACTAGTGCCTGTATACTGTAAAATTTCAAAGCCAATCCTTATGATTACATATCACATTCACAATTGCTATTAGTAGAGGTTGCATGTTTACAATATTCTTATTTGTGACCATAAGGTTAAATAAATTCTCTTCCTACGGATAATTTCACAAACATACAAAACTTCTAATAGCATACCTCATGCCTTCTACTAATTTCCAGATGAATGAAAGAGCTAACATTAAATTATTATTACTATTATTATTATTATTTTTTTTTTTTTACCATTTTCTCTCTTAAGAATTTTTTTCCTGGGGCACATGGGTGGCTCAGTCAAGTGTCCGGCTCTTGATTCTGGCTCAGGTCATGATCTCACAGGTTCGTGGGATCGAGCCCCTGTGCTGACAGGATGAAGCCTGCTTGGGATTCTCTCCCTCCCTCTCTCTCTGCCCCTCCCCTGCTCATGCTCTCTCTCTGTCTCTCTCAAAATAAATAAACTTTTTAAAAAAAAAAAACTTTTTCCCTAGCCTTGACATTAGGGAAATCCATATTCTAAAGCAAGATTTTAGCCTAGAAACCATAGAAAGAAAGGATATTCACAGTAACCTGTCACTTTATAGTTAAGAGATACTGGAGAAAATAGTCACAACAGATGTAACAGACAAGAAAAATCAAGAAAATATAAAGAATTCCTACAAATCAATAATTCTTTTTTTAAATGTTTTGTTGTATTCTTATTTCCTTTTATTGATTGATTGATTGTTTAATTTACATCCAAGTTAGCAAGAGAGGAGGATGGGGAGTACTGCTAATGAGTACAGCATGTCTTTCTGGAATGATGAAAATGTTTTGGAACTAAATAGTGGTACTGGTCGCACAGAATATCCTTGTGAATATACAAAAGCCATTGAATCATACACTTAAAAATGGTGATTTTTGGTATGCCTAGCTGGCTCAGTTGGTAGAGCATGCAACTCTTGATCTTGGGGTTGCAGGTTCAAGACCCACACTGGGTGGAGATTACTTAAAAAATCTGATAAAATCTTAAAAAATAATAAAATAAAATGGTGATTTTTATGGTACATGAATTAAATATTAATTTAAATTTTTCTAAATAAAGGGCACCTGGGTGGCTCAGTCAGTTAAGAATCCAACTCTTGATCTCAGCTCAGACCATGATGTCAAGGTTCATGATTTCAAGCCCCACATCAGGCTCTCTGCGCTGCCAACACTAAGCCTTTTTGGGATTCTGTCTTTTCTGCTCTCTGCCCCTTCCCCACTTCCACTGTCTCTCTCCCTCAAAATAGATAAGCTTAAAAAATATATAAAAATTTTCAATCAGATAAGGATGTGAACTCACAAAGAATATAAACATAGTAGGTCAGTAGTAGCCTAATGGTACACCACAATGCCTACATCACTAACCTTACTTCATCTCATCATGTAGGCATTTTATTATCTCATATCATCATAAGGGTGAGTACAGTACAGTAAGATATTTTGAGAGATCACATTCAAATGACTTATTACAGTATAGTTATAATTGTTTTATTTTATTATTATTGTTGCTCATCTCTTACTGAGCCTAATTTACAAATTAAACTTTACCAGAGGTATGTATGTATAGTAAAAAATATAATACATATAGGGTTCAGTACTATTCACGGTTTCAAGCATTCAATGGGGGTCTTGGAAAATATCGCCACACATACGGGGGAACTACTATATGAAGATTCATTCCTCCAGCAATTTTCAACTAACCTTAATTATCAGTTAACATCTCAAAAAGGTCAATAAAGATAAAGTCTGGGGAAAAGATGTGCCAGGAAAAAGAAAGAGGTCAGCAAAAGGACTGAGAGGCCCTTTTACGGTTGGCCCTAACTTTATCATTCAGTAGTATTTACTGTATTTGCCAATGAAGCATGCTAACCAAGTAAAGTTTTCATTTGGAGAAATTAAGATAATCTAAATCTACCTGGCAGATCAATAAAACAGTATCAGCCTCTTCTAACTCCCACAACAGATACATGTATAGTAAATAAAAATGCCATTTTAAAAAATTTGCTTATTGAAATCATTTTTCCTGTATCAGAAATTACTCACTTTAGAGAATTAAAGGAGAAAAATAATGAAACTTACCTGTCCAATGACTTTGAGTTTAATGTATTCTCCTTCCTTCTTATCCCCCAAGTCCTCAGTTGAAGGTTTTGCCTCCTGAAAGAAAAGTCCATTTATTTATTTTTGAGAGAGAGAGAGAGAGAGAGAGACAACATGAGCGGGAGAGAGACAGAGAAAGAGGAGACACAGAATCTGAACCAGGCTTCAGGCTCTGAGTCTTCAGCACACAGCCCCGATGCAGGGCTCGAACTCGCGAACTGCAATGTCATGACCTGAGCCAAAGTTGGGCGCCCAACTGACTGAGCCACCCAGGTGCCCCAGAAAAGTACATTTAAAGATAAAAGTTCCTATATGCTGTTTTAACTACTTACTTATGAATACCCATTACTTTCACTGAGTACAAAATATGTACTTGGGAATAAAACATTTTCTCTGCCACACCAATTAAGCAAAAAATCTAAGTCAATTATTGTTTCAAATACCAGTGTTCCAGAAGTCAAAAAAGGTCTCCTTTATTGTAATATCCTCCAGTAATGGTTCTAAGACCCCAGCATGCATAGGAATCACCTGAGGGACTTTTTAAACAAAACCTGGGCCCCCCCTCCCAGCTTTTTATTCAATAGGTCTGGGACAGGGCTATACCTGTATTTCTAACAAGGTACCAATTGGTGCTAATTCTTTCTGGTGGGCAGAGGACAACCTACCCTACAGTCAACTCCTATTAGTCAGAAGTTCATTATCCATCAACCAAACATTCTGAATCCAAAATTCTCTTTTCGGAGCCTATCAGGAGAAGTTAACTACTCCCACTGCAAAACTGTACTAAGAAACATAAATTAATCATATTAGCATAAGCAAGGTCTATTTAGGAAGGAAAATCAAAGAGCATATTGGTCTAATGTACTCTAGAACCAAAACAAATCAGTTTTGTATCATCTATTATTTTTTTTAATTTTTTTTTTTTTATTATTTATTTCTAGGAGAGAGAGAGAGAGACAGCGTGAGCAGGGGAGGTTCAGAGAGACAGGGAGTCACAGACTGAAACAGGCTCCAGGCTCTGAGCTGGCAGTCAGCACAGAGCCCGACGCGGGGCTCGAACCCACGAACCGCGAGATCATGACCTAAGCGAAAGTCGGACGCTTAACCGACTAAGCCACCCAGGCGCCCCTATTTTTTTAAATTTTTTTAAGGTTTTATTTATTTCTGAGAGAGAGACAGCATAAGCAGGGGAGGGGCAGAGAAAGAGGGAGACAAAGAATTTGAAGCAGGCTCCAGGCCCTGAGCTAGCGGTCAGCACAGAGCCCAACGTAGGGCTAGAACCCACGAACTGTCATGACCTGAGCCAAAGTCGGGACACTTAACTGACTGAGCCACCCAGGCGCCCCTCATCTATTATTTCAGACTATCAGAAGCAGTCTATCCAATTTTAAAAGATTAGGCTTGGCTGAAAAACCTTCCAGTAACAAGTGAAATAAGAAAAAAGTAGAGAACAGGTAGCAAAAAGAAAGAGGAGACAAAATTTGAAGAGAGAAAAGAGGGTTACAAAATAATTTCAAATTAAGGGATATTGAAAAGAAAATAAACAGAAAAAATTAGTTAAAACAATTTCATCATGAAGTATCTAAGAAAAGCCATTTTTATACTAAAGGAGGTAGCTTGGAAAATTTCACTCAATAGTGCATTAAAAGTAGCTTTCCTGTTTAGTTTGGCCACCAAATCAGCCACTTATTTACATATATATTCTTTTGTTAAATATATAACAATTTCTGTTAATCCACACTTGATAAGAATATAACAAACTATATTGTATTGTACAAGTAAAATAACAGGACCATATTACCTTGTGTACTTCATGCCAGTAACTTAAAACTAAAAATCTTCAACATTCAAAATTTAACAGAACATCTTAAATTAGAAGTAGCTGTTAACTTTAAGATACAGGCAAGAGTCCAAGGAAATGCTTAGACAACAGAACTGACTTCATTAGTTTAAGTCCTTGCCTGTTTTTCATTCCGCAGTACTTTCAACATTTGCTGACTACTGCATATTACGGCAACAGACAAAATGAACCTTCTTTAGTGAGACAGTCTTTCACCTGAAAACTAGAAGACTGTCTTCAAATACAGTCACATCACCACATTTCTATGAATTTATATTCATAGTTAACAGTTGCTTCTTCCTTTAAGTATCTAGAGAGGGTAAGGACAGCTTATTCCATGCAGTGAAGAGTAATGAAGTTGAGTTCTCTTTAACTGAGAGGAAAAAGGGTGTTAGGAAGCCTTGTTTGAATACAAAGAAGGAGCACCGCCATTCCCCACCCCCAGCAGCAATCCATCAGTACAATGGGAGTGATTTTGCTCCAGCTTCTCAGCTAAGACGGATACAGAGGCTACTCAAGGAAAGACAAAAGAGTTCTTTCCCCTCCTCCAACCCCTCATCCACACTGCTTTTCTCAAGCACAGCTTCTGTGATTGGATAACTACCCCTATCAAAAAGCATTAATACCTCCCAGTTCTTTATGGCCTAGAATCAAACTCCATAGAACCAAATCCAGTTCCTCCATTACCAAACTCAATTCTCATTTTTCTACCACTTTCTTTACAAACCTGAGAATGCAGTTAAATTGGACATTTTGCTGTTCCCCGAAAAGCCTATCAGTATTCTTCCATCTTCAACCCCTGTTTCTTCTATCTAGAATATATTTCCTCCCCTCAACTTCTCCTGAAATCACCTCAGAGAAATCCATCCCACATGTCATTTAAAGTCCAGTATTAAAAAACTGCGGCCTGGGTGGTTCAGGAGGTTGAGCATCTGACTCTTGATTTCAGGCTCAGGTCATGATTCCAAGGTCATAGAATAGAGCCCTGTGTCAGGCTCTGAGCTGAGTAGGGAGCCTACTTGAGGTTCTCTCTCCCAAGCTCACACTCTCTCCCTAAATTAAATAAATAAATAAATAAGACAAAATTCTTCCAGGAGATTAAAAAAAACTCTTTCAGGAATCACAGCACCCCCCAACCTTCCAACTGGGATTAATATTTCCCTTTAAGGCTCCTTTTTGGAATTTATTCTTATCTTCCACGGCATTTATTCTCACTTTTAAAATACTCCCTTCTCGGGCACCTGGGTGGCTCAGGTCATGATCTTACGGTTCAGGAGTTCAAGCCAAGCATCAGGCTCTGTGCTGACAGCTCGGAGCCTGAAGCCTCCTTGGAATTCTGTGTCTCCCTCTCTCTCTCTGCCCCTCTCCTGCTCACACTCTGTCTCTTTCTCTCAAGAATAAGCATTAAAAAAATTTTTTTTAAATAAATAAAATACTCCCTTGTCGACCATCTTCTCTAGATGTTGTCCTCATCTTTTTATTCAAACTTCTTACAAGAGGATTCAGCATCAACCATCTCCACTTTCACCCGTAAACTCCCAAAATGGTTCATTCATCACCATTCCACTTGATACTGCTGCCATCAAAGTTGCCAGTTCAACTCCTTATTGCTGATTTTATTGGACAATTTCAAATCTCATTTTTAACTAACACAACAGACGATTTCTTCCCTGGAAACTCTCTACCTTTGGCCTCCAAGATTCCACTCTCTCCTTAACTCGGCTATTTCCTTAAATGCTGAGGGTCTCCTCTGGATTCCATGTCCTCAGTCCTCTGCTTTGTCTCTTGGGTGACCCATGATTCCAACTACCTCTCAGATCCTAATGATTCATAGTCATCCTCTCCAACCTGACAACTTTTCAGAGTTTTACATTCATTTATCCAAATGCTTGAATATCTCCACCTTAGATGTACCATCGGTACCTGAATGTAAATATCTAAAACCGAATGCATTATTTCCTCTGTTAATTTTAACTCCTCTTCCTGAAAACCACATTAAAAAACAAAACAAAATTTCCTCCCAGATTCTCAATTACAGTAAATGGTTACCATACACTCAACTGTCCAAAACAGAAACTTAGGTGTCATCTTTGGCTAGACTTCCTCTCTTAAATCTCACACTTAACCATCCAGTATTCTAACAATGTGTTATCTCTTAGTGGCTCCCAAGTTTATTCTTCTCTCCATTCCACTGCCTTTCTTCAGGTACTCACTGTTGCTCCCTAAATATTACTGCAACAGATCTTCCCAGTCTTGCTCCCTTCAATTCACCAACTACCACCAGAGCTACCTCTCTACAATGCAATCTGATCTGCCCAGAATCTTCAGGCTGAATCTTAAATTCAAACTCCTTAGCTGACGTACACCGGTCCTCATGTGCTGGTCCCCGATAGCAATCAAGCTTTAATCTCCTATCTCTCTTGCATTTAATAATATCCTTTGCTCCAGCCATATTGACCTACAATCCCTTACACCTAGCACCCTCTACCTTATCGCCATCATATCTGTACCTATTCACCACGTCTGCTCAGAACCCCTTTCCTACCCTATTTCCCTATCAATACACTCAGGCATCACTTCCTACAAACTGACTTCTCTAATTACCCTCTTAAACATTCCCATGCTTACTTTTATCTATTATAACCACATGTTGGAATATCTGTATCTTCTACCAGACTGAGTTCCTCACTGCATACTTTTTACTCTTCTTTGCACTTCTGATCATGCACAATGCCTGGTACTTTGAAGATATTCAATATTCTTGTTAAATAAATTAATGTTTTCTGTGACAGTTTTGTATGTCTTGACTTCCCTACAAGTTTACAAGGAGAGGACCCAAGTTTTTTCATCTTTATAATCTCTGTAATGCCAGGCAAATACTAGGTTATTTAATGCCGTTGAATCAAGGTGACAACATTATTTTCTGTATCATACCACAAAACCTTACTAATGCTTCATACTTTTATTGTACATAATAGTCCAAACAAAAGTCCTTTCAATGTTTTATATTCACAGTTGGAAATAGGATAATTCATTTCAACTGCATAAGAACATGTGAACAACCAGGATATGAAATTTCCAAAAATAAGTTGCCACTTTCCCTAGCCACTACTTTTTAGTGATCTCTTCCCAAGCCTGAAGTACTATGGCAACATCATCTGTACTTGTTTAATGGCCTCATGCTTGCTTAATGTAGTCATCCAACTTTTCATGTACT